GCGTGGTTTCGATCCACGGACCTCTGGGTTATGGGCCCAGCACGCTTCCACTGCGCCACTCTGCTGGTGATGTGCTGGGACCAAAAAGTAGTTCACCGTGGTATTTATAGATGACGGTGGTAAGTCGTATTGTAGAAAAAAACCAACAGAGGAATGGAGAGACTCATGCGTTTATATTTCGGTAGTATGTTTTTGGCGTATTAAAATGTAGAAATTAACCAGAAAATAAATTTAAACCTTTCCTGTCAACTCTGGAAACCTTTTTAAAATTTTGTTTGCATTTCTGTCATACAATTCACCTTCTTTTCGACCACTTCCCACTTAGCAAGACTATTTTTAGCTCGACTTGCCAATATATTACTTTCCAGAAGCTCCTGCCATCAGTGGGTGTTTGTTTCAGGCACGTCAGATGTCGCCTCGGACGCCGAGGATGGCGCAGGTGGCGCTGCGAGCGGCCAGTCTGAGGCTGGGAACCAGGGCTGGGCCGACGTCATGACCCGGCTGCTGAGCGCGCCCGCGCCCAAAAAACGATACGTCGTCTTAGCCAAGGCGAAAAAGACTGTGCCCTCCGAGGAAGTGGAAGAAGAAGAGGAGAAGCAGGAGCAGGGTCCAGGGTTTGAAGTGGAGGGAGCCGAGCCTGAGGAGGCGCAGAAGAAGCCGGCCAAGTCCCGCTCGACGGTGCGGCCGCGCGCCGTGCGGAGGAAGGCGGAGATCGACAGGCGGAAGAAGGTAACTCATGACGCAGCGACTTCCTTCAAGTATCGATGGCCATCGTCGGGTGTGGTCATCCATTGTTATTCGCTGTTATCCGTGGGTTTACCTCTTTTCCTCACCTGGTCATCATGCACTGACACAGCATACTCATACTATCTTGTACACTGACTGATCTGATCTTCCATTCGCTGTTCGTGACAAGTGAGTCTGTTGTTCTGAGATGTGTGTGTAGCGCCTTATTGCTATGGATTTACTCGTGAAAATATATGTTATGCCCCAGACGTGTTCTCCATTTGCTGACTAGCTACTTTATTTCAGCTTCGAGAATGGGAAGTGATGGGACGAAAGAAGCCTGACATCCGAGAGAAAGACAGGGAAAAGACCCTGTGCAAGATTGCAACAAGGTATGTGGAGTACATTAGCATTGGCCACAATCAATATCATGCATTCCCAGTCATCTCCCATATCCAGTGGTCGAACTTGAATCTACTATAGCAATGTGTTGCTGTGTTCACAGGAGGCTCACCATCCTTGTGTACAAACGATGGTATTCGCTAGCTTGTAAGTAGGCTGTCGTTGATGATGCGACCGAGCCAAACGGCCGTGTCGTCCATTCCTGACCCCTGTCGATCAGTAAGCACGACACAGCTTCAGATCGTTGGCCACAGCCGGTGCGCGCGGCCGTGGCCAGCTGTTTTGAGCGTGTCGCGGTGCGCACGCAGCCCTTTCACCTCGCCCGTCGCCTCCAGGGGCGTGGTGCAGCTGTTCAACGCGGTGCGGAAGCAGCAGCAGGAGGTGCAGGGCCAGCTGAAGGAGGCCGGCGGCTCCATCCGCAAGACGGAGCGGGCGCTGAAGGGCGTCAGCAAGCAGGCGTTCCTGGAGCGACTGCGCGCGGGCGTCGACAGCGAGCCGGCGCCGCCGGCCGCCCAGGTCAGCATTGCGGGCGAGAGGCGTGGGCGGGGCCGTCTGGTGGCGAGGGTCTCCGCGGGCCTCTGGACCACGGAGTGCACCTCTGGAGGGTGGACCTCTGACCACGGCCTCCGGGGCTAAAGGGACATGGAGAGAGCGGGGGCTGGACAGAGTCAGACAGACCGTGGCGGCTGGGGCCGGGGGATGGAAACAGGCAGACGCTGGTCAGTGTCTGATGGACAGAGGGTGGTGCTGCCGCTCGGTGCTCGGCTGCCGCCCGGTGTTCTGCTGCCGCTCGGTGCTGGGTTGTCCGCTCGGTGCTCGGGTGCCGCTCGGCGGTTGGCTGTCCGCTCGGTGCTCGGCTGCCGCTCGGTGCTCGGGTGCCGCTCGGCGGTTGGCTGTCCGCTCGGTGCCCAGCCACCGCTCGGTGCCCCCGCTCGGTGCCCGGCTGCCGCTCGGTGCTCGGCTCGATGTTCGGACGAGCACGGGCCGGGGGAATCTCATCGGTGGTCCGAGGGAATCTCATCGGTGGTCCGGGGGAATCTCATCGGTGGGCCGGGGGAATCTCATCGGTGGTCCGGGGGAATCTCATCGGTGGTCCGGTGGACTTGGTAGAGGGCCTGATTGGGGGACTTTGGTCCAAATTAGTGTGGGCTCCATGTCCCTTTTGCCGGTGGGGCTGCCGCGTCATCTTCAGAGTCCTCCCTGCAGTGGACGGTGCTTGCTAATTCTCTGCGTTACTGATGATTGCACCCTGTTTTGTTGGCTCACGAGCCCTGGCACGGTATTATTTTGAAGTTTTGCAAAGCGGAAGGATTTGCCACTCACAGTGTACTTGTGACAGGGCGTGGCATGTCGAGATCTGAAGCTGTAATGCATGTAAGAACGGGTTGTGTATTATGCGGACCCAGTGCCGCGCAGGCCGCGGCGCAATTGACAAACACCGCCTCGGCTAGCCTGTCGTAGTTGCGTGTACCGAGGGGATAATATTTCGCCACCGCCGAGTGAGCTTGCTCACCGGGGAGCTATTTGCGCTGCTGCCGTCGGCTGAGGTGACCTGCGGCGGGCGTGACCTTAGCGGCGGTGGGCGAGACCTGACCTGCGGCGGGCGTGACCTGACCGGTGGACGCGACCTGATCTCAGGAGCACGGAGAGGAGGCGGCAGACGGCCGGGCCTCGTGGAGCGTGCTGCGGGACGACTACCTGCCCGAGGCCGGCCTCAAGGACTGGGACCAGGACAGCGATATGGCCGACGACGACGGGTCGGCCGGCGAGTCCGACGACAGCGCGTGACCTGGCGTTGACCTTTAGATGGGAGGGGAGGGGGCAGCACGGTGAGATGGAGACAATACACAGGAGACTAAATATGTGTTTTTTTTTCTAGACTTGCCCAAGCTGTCCATTGGGATGCTGAAGGTTGCGTAGAATACGGATAACTAAGGTTGGTTCATATTGGCTCCTTTATTCTATATGATATCATAGTAGCTAATGTCAAAGAGCTTTTTATCGTGTCGCGCGATATGAGCAGAACAGGGTTTTAGGGATGCGAATGGACGGTGACGCAACCTTCAACAGGGACGAATGTCGCGTACGGAAGCTGCAACAACAGTCGGCATACCAGCGCATGAGTGAACAATAGCGCATCAACTACCGTATTGCTGTATCCGCATGCACCTTTTTCTCAAGGACTTCATAACTGTCGTGTTATGACCAGCGGGTAAGTCTTTTGACAGCGATAAACAGTTCCTGTTTTTGTGGTGCGCGGCCTTGTGTCGTGAAGACCGTATAGCGCATGTGCCTCTTCCATGTGCGCTAGAGACTGGTGGAAAGGGTGGCATGTGACCTTCGTTGACCGAACGGTGTGCGAATGCCGGCGATGTATTCTGACGTTCTCCATCCGTCGCTGGGTTTTTATTGGCGTTTAGAATTTCTCGTCGGCGTCCTGTCGCAGAGCGCAGCTAAAAAGGTGCAGGAGAAGCGAGTCGCGTGCACAGCATCCGTGTGTGAGTGCAGCACTGTTCGCTCGTGCAGGACCACTGCCGGCAGCGGATGCTGAGACAGAGCGAGGCCGCGCCTTCCTGCAGTCTGGTTATTGCCCGCTATACGCAATACTGGGGCCTGCTGCGCGTTAGGACCGTTACTGACTGCACTACCTGACGGAACAGAATTACACGATGCTCTTGACACCAGGCTGGCGGAACATGATCGATAGGCGGCGGCCTCTCGCGCCGTGGGAGCTAAGGAGCTTCGTGTGAGAATTGGGAGCTTGGTGCACTAATTGGGAGCTTGCTGCACAAACTGGGAGCTTGGGGGCTTGGTGCACTAATTGGGAGCTTGCTGCGCTGATTAGGAGTTTTGGAGCTTAGTGCACTGATTTGGAGCTTGGGAGCTTCGTGCGCTAATTGGGAGTTTGAGATCTTGGTGCCTAATTGGGAGTTTGGGCGCTTGGTCCACTGACTGAAAGCTTGGGAGCTTCGTGCGCTAATTGGGAGCTTGAGATCTTGGTGCCTACTTGGGGGTTTGGGAGCTTAGTGCACTGATTGGGAGTTGGGAGCTTGGTGCTCTAAATGAGAGACTGGGAGTTTGGTGTACCATTCGGGAGCTTGTGGTCTTCTTGCACCGGGACAGAGGCAAACAGCGGCACACGCTGAAGTGGCGGTGCTTTCGAGCACACTGCACAAACTCGCCCGCTGGAGTCTCCCTGCGGCGTGCAGGGAGAGTCCGGTGCTCCACTCTGGGTGATACGTAGCTGCAGTCAACATGAGCAGGGCAGTGCTCTACGCAATTCTAAATTGCGAGATAGCATCTTACCGTAACGCGAACAATCGGCCGCACTGAAAGCTCATTCTCCAGCGACTTTCGAACGCATTCCGGGGTAGTTTAATCATCTATTGCTCATACGCGCAAACGTGAAATGCAGTTTCAATGGTTCATGCACTCGTTCACTCTAAGACATCCTGGTCAAGCACCAAACCGCTGCATGCGAGTCAACTACATACTGGGAACTGAAGTGAATCTGCCGTTGGAATGACCGTCTCAAGGTCTAACGGTCCATGGTTCTGTATCGTTCCGCTTTGGCTGGAATTAAAGCCCTTTCGGCCAGCAATGAGCCCCTTCGGCTCAGACGCGAGAAGCGCTGGCAGCTCCGGTCTCTTGCAGATTTTAACGGTTTAAACATGCTTATGTGTTGCATGCCTCGGCTTGTTAAGGCATCATGCGGTGTCAGCCATTCTCATCGCCAGCCGTTGAGCTGATGCCGAGGCGCCCCGGCAACCTGTGTGGGTTTGCGAGTCGTGCACGCTCGGACGAAGAATGCGCCGGTCGGCCTTCGCCGAGCGGCAGGAAGAGAGTGCGTCGAATGGCGAGGGTAGTTCGAACGTCAAGGCAAACGTTTACGAAGATGATATGTATTCGGACAAGCATGCATACGTGCGAGTATCGCCACGGAATGAAAGATAGTTGACGACGACCGCGAGCCAGGCGAAGTTTGGACACCAGCGTTTGAATGAGAGAGAGGCACGCCGAATGGATGGACTTTCCGTGTCACCCAACGCAAGCCAAATGTCACGTGCCAGTCCAGCAGCTAGCATTTCCGGCGCCGCCTGCCGCGCTGCTGCTTTCGTGAGCTAAGATGAGACCTGGCAGCCCGGGGCGCGGGGCGCCAGGTAGACTCCAGTTCACCGACCCCGGACCGGGAACGAGCTAACGCTGCCGGTGATGCGGGCGAGCCGACCCCTGACCTAGAACTGCGCCGGTGGCGCCACGGGGATGGAGTCCGACTGGGCGTGGTAGCCCGTCTCGTCGGCGTACCAGACCACCTTGATCTTCTGGCCGTCGGGGGCTATGTACGAGTACTCGCCCCTCATGCTGATGGTGCCCGTCTCCGGCTCGGCACCGGGCGTGGTCTTGCCGCTGGCCGTCTGCTCGATGTTGTTGCTGGTGACGATGGCAGACTGGTAGCCACCCTCTTCGTCGCGCACGAAGTCGCTGCTCAGGATCTCGGCCTGGCTCTCGTCGGTGACGAAGACGCTGGGCTCCTGGACGACGGCAACGATCTCGGGCTCCGGGGCGTCTTGGACGGGGAGCTCCAGGGATTCTTGGGCGGCGGCGGCGGCAGCGCACGCCAGCAGAACGATCAGCGACTGCCGGAGCGAGAGACGATCAGAGGGCGGTCACGGAGACGGTCAGAGGAAGGCTACGGAAGCAGTTGGAGGACGACCACGGTCAGAGGGCAGTCACGAAGACGGCCAGAAACTAATCACCTAAGACTGCGAGAAGACGGCCACAAGAAAAAGTCAGAGGGAGGTGACGTGAGGGGAGCAGCGCACAGTGTAGGAGGACGGTTGGAGCGCGGATACAGAAGACCTGGTCCGGGAGACGGCCACGGGAGACGCTCAAAGGGAGGTCCTGGGAGATTCTCAGAGTGAGGTCACGGAAGACGCCCAGAGGGAGGTCCTGGGAGATTCTCAGAGTGAGGTCACGGAAGACGCTCAGAGGGAGGTCGCGGGAAACGGTCACGAGGGGGTCAAGAGAGACGCTCAGAGGGAGGTCACGTGGCACGTCAGGGTGGTTCACCGGGTGGGGACACTTAAGCCGTGCGCTCAAGAAATGCAGTGGTTAAGAAGGGTTGCAACTATAACAGCGGTATGACCGGTACGGGTCAGCGCAATGAGATTAGTTCCCGCGGCAGCGATCTGGGCGCTGATGCCCTGGATCAGAGGAATGAAAGTGAACCGGTTGCGCGGGAAGTCGCATCAAGGCCGTGAGGAGCGCAGACTTATCCGTCTGGTGCCAAAGTCGCTGCCGAGGCACAACTGGACAAGTTGTGGAACCTTAGCAAATGAAATGCAGTGAATTTATTTTGGGGGGGCTTCATGTTCACTGTTGGATTCAATTGATGTAGTTGACAATGACAACTAAAATACAGAGGTGCGACCTGGTGCTAATTGGGCCTTAGTCCTCACTTACAGTAAGGATGGAGTGCAGTTTTCACCGCGACATTTTTAAACACAGTTTAGGTAATTTGCGATGAGATGGTTATCGACTACCACTGGCAATGACATGCCGCACTTAGCAACAGTAATTTAGGGACGAGATCAGCGGGTAGCCGAGTGGATATGTGACAGTACGTTGCTGACGCGATTGTTTTGAGCACCAGGGCAAACCAACAATGATGACCCTTCGCTACTTTAGGTCCCGCACCAGTATTGCTGGTGGCGTATTAAGTCTGTCCTTAGTGCGTACGTGCTGTGAATGAGGCTTGGACTCGGTCCTAGAATTTGTAACCTCCCTCTTCCACCGCATTTCCCAGGACCGTAAATCCTAGCGGTACAGCCTCGGTCGCAAATCCTGGGCGTGCCTTCAACGAAGTGGCATATTTCCATCGTTTCCGGTGGAATAGACCCCTCTTAAGGTGCCGAGGCAACCGAAGACGGCCAGGTTTAGTGCCGCGGTCGGATGTGAAAGTTAACAGAAATGACCGGGGATGTAAATGGCGTTGTTGGGCCGAGTCCAGATTTTCATGGATGTTAGACTCTGGCTACATTCTCAAAGCGGTTTAAGCTTCCTACCGATATCCCGTAATCAACTCGTGCCTCTGTCTCCGTCGGCGGCGGCTTACCAGTTTCATGGCTGCGGTGTCTGGGAGGCGGTCCGGGAGTGGAGTGATGGCACCGACCGGCCGGCACCGTTTTATACGGCGGCCGCCTCGCGCTAATCCCGGGCATAGACTCCTTTTTGCAATCGGATGAGCAACGCTCGAAAAACGCCGCTGGAATGCGATGCCGTACTGGCTGTCTGTGGTGAGACGTTGTGGTCGCCCGGTGAGAGGGGGTGTCAGTCCCTCCTTCCCCCCCCCCCCCCCCCCAGGGGCATCCCAGCCCCATCTCCACCGCACCCCAGGTGTGCCGCGCCGTAGGGCACAGCGGATGGTGACGCATGTGTGATGGGGTAGGCAACACTGGAGCGCCGGAGCTCCTGGTGGTTTAGTAGATAGAATTACCCATGAGTCAGGCTCAGTATCTCGCTTCCCTGACATGAGGCGTTCTCGTGGCTGGATGTCAGTATGTAATGTTAGATGACCGTGCCGTAGTGCGAAGGTTATCACCATGGCATAAGACGTTCTCGTGGTTGGATGTCAGTTTGCGCTGTTAGATGACCGTGCCGTAGCGCGAAGGTTATCACCATCAGCCAGAGTTCGCGACCCTCGGTAATCATGGTCTGTGGCAATAAGTGGGGCGTTGATACGACTCGTTGGGAGACATAAGCCCATTTCAACTGCTTTACTCCACGGATGGCTCGAATTGTCTCTGGTGCTTCAGGTTTTGCTACCTTCGAAGGTCTATATAAAATGCGCGAGGCAACTGCTCGCCATTTGGCTCTGTATCATGGGTATAACTTTATTGACAATTGGGGATGCACACATCCTCCAAATCCCAAAAATCAAGCTGAGAACTTTGGCGCCGCATAGAAAGGATGAACTCAGCGATGTCACTTCCATCCTCAATATTTTGGGGAAGTTTCGGCATTGGTACAGGTAAAACGCTGTAACAGACCAATGGTAGCTGTCACGCCGCATCAACTGCTCTTCGAACAGCAGCAGGATGATTCGATCATTAAGTCACTAAACTTCGCTTGCTTTTATGCCCATAACAACTGTCACGCATTTTAATAGACGTGGATATTTCCTTACATCGTCTAGGGCATTTGGACAACCGCGACCGCGTGTGACGGAGCGGGGGTAAACGTAGTGGTGCCATGCGCCCCCCCCCCCCCCCCCCCCCCTGTGGTGCCGCAGGATCTAATCGCCCGATCGGAGCACTGTTTTAAGTGCTTTTAAGGCAACCAACAGCCCTCATCCGCCCCACTCAGGTCTTCAACGTTTGCAAGACTGATGCATTACAGGTTGCCCAAAATGCCCCCCAAATCGCCAAAACATATTTTGACTGCTTCGGAAGCTTCTGGGGCGCATATTAGTTTATTATATATGTTTTTATTAGTCTTCCGCATTGGTTCCGGCCGCACAGCCTTGCAATTTTGAAGTCTCTGTCAAGGTTAGATCAAGTCATGGCAGTATTTCTGTTCGCCTCATCTAAGTAGTTACAGTTTGTCTCCACTTCCGGTCCACATGACATTTACGTCAATAGTTTTGAAATGCACCAGTAAAATCCACTGATTTATCACAAATTAGCGTAGCAATGATCTTAGTGGAAAACTCGTCAGTTGACCTGACACAGCTAATGGTGGCCTGGTATGACCTCGTATACGTGACTGATGCCGGCTAACAGCCAACATAGCCAGTCGATGAACTGCGTTAAATAATCCGATGCGGGGAAGTGGGCTGCAAGCTTGCACAGATCGCCATGCAAACTTAAACGGATGACGTGATGGCTCAATGACTTAGCAAACTCTTAAGCGCTTAACTGTTTAAAGCAGTCGCAGTTTACGCTAATTCGGCTAAAATAAAACTAGCGTTTTTAGACTGAATGAAATAAGATCACTCGAGACCATACCATCTCATCGTGTCTTTTTACAATGTTAAACATTAGTTTGGCAATGCGAATCTATGCCTACGTTCAACATCACTTGTGTCACAACAGTAAGCAAGCCTGTCGTAGTTGATTTAGGACTTTCGCGCGCCTATATCTCATGTTATATTTATTTTTAATGCCTCGATTTCAACATGCACATGCAAGATATCTGCTTACATGCCGCATGTACGCTTACGATCTATTGGAAGTTCTAGGGGTCTAACAGACAAGTTTATGCAGACCCTAAACTTCCATGACCTTTGAATTACGACGCACCCAAGTTGTGTTCAGTACATAGGTTCCCAGCCATGAATTTCATAACATATCATAACCGATCCCATCTGCTAAATCACTGAGGGACCTGACCCTTCGAACTTGTGCCCAGGTCCACCACACCGTCATTTCCACAACGGTGGCGCCGGGCGGCAAGGACCGTCCTGCTGTCCGCACAACGTACCCCCGCCCCCTCGCCGCTCTTCGGAAATCGCGCGCGCACATAATCGCTGACCACAACCCTTCTGCTGCCAGTGAGTGGCGATGGTCGCTGGTCTTCTTGCATTCGGTTAAAGAGAGTATCCCACGTTATATGGGGTTTTGAAATGAAATAGCTATTTGAAGACTTTTCCGTGCTGTTTACAATTCTGCCCTTCTTAAGACTTGAGTCCCGTCTAGTTTATGAGCTATACGCCCGCGGAAACGGGGAAAAGTACATCGGGGAGAGTACTTCAAGGTTACCTTGGCATTCAGTATGTCATAATAACGTCATCCAAAGCCTGCCATTCCATAATCCATGCGGCGATCAAGGTCAAAAATCATATAATTGCTGAGGCCTTAATATCTAGCGTTCATAAGCGCGATTTCCAGATATAACGGCTGTCAGTTGGCTCTTAATCAGCGTTGTGCAAGGTACGATGATGCAATCAAACCATGACGCATTGAGAAGCATATCTACTAAACAGATAATTGTGCTGTCTAAGACAGTCTTTTCCACTTAAAAAGTATACCAATTATAAGTGAGCTTGATTCATCATATCTGATTCTTGCTTCAAGATCTTCAAATGTGAAACAATCCATTTAATTGAGGTGCATGTGTTGACAGCACTGACCGCCGAATTATGCTACGGAGGTTTCAGGTACGAGGTGTTGACGCTGCGCGGTTTGTCGCTTAACCCAGTGGACACACTAAAATGAGTTTCCAAGGGGGGGGGGGGGGGGCTCCAGTAAATTGCATTCCACCCACCCGCGCCCGAATGAGATGAGTTTCTCTTAGGACTCGGGCCCGGGGCTCTCCTGTGTGGTGTCTTTGCTGACGACTAAGTATTACAAGTTTCTGCTGCATCGGATGTCGAACAGCACTCGGAGAGCAGACGGGCGATAACACTTGGTCCACAAGAGCAACCACTCAGTACTTATCGCAAGAAAGGAGAGGTCGTTCACTTCTCTGGAGAAATAGTGCTGCGTAATGCCCTCAGGGTCAACAGAAACAAAACTCAGCCAGGCTGACCCACCATCCCTGAGTGCTAACATGACCTCTGCAGTCGCTGGCGCTCCATATACGGACGCTCGACGATGTGCTTCGCTTTCCCGTAAGAAACCCGACTCATCGCCTTTGAAAACCATTGGGCAACCCTTCAACTGTCACATTTAAGGACACCGAACTTTGGGCTGTTCTTTTCACAAATGGGCTAGACTTTCAACATTCGAATTTTTACCTTTGATTCATGGAACAGCGCCATTGATGCCGTCAGCCATAGGTGTGCTTGCCGGCCTTACGCGCATGCACCGACGCATGCCATGCTCAGCGTATCATCACCAAACCTGCGATAGATGCCGTTGTTTGACAGGCGCGTTAAGGCTTTGCAGCACGTGGTAGCGGGTAAAGACAATTTTTGGGGACAAAATGCGGACGTGTTTGGCTTCAAGGCTAGGCTGTTTTTGTTCCGTTTTCTTTGGCCACAAGACAAATCGTGTCTAAGACCTTCAGGCTTTCGCTGTTTGTGTAAAGCAATGGATACCCACATGGTAGGGGCAGCGGGCTGGGTTGCTTGCAAATTTTGGGAAAATGATGGGAATGGGTGTGGCTATGGGCGTAAGACGTTCGCAAAATGTCACACAGGCACTGTGAGAAATAACTCAAAGTGGCACTGCTTGCCGTTCTTTCTGTCGTAACCAGCTTCATTCATAGTTGTTTTTTGTGATTGGTATCGCACAGAGCGGGTCTGGGTGAGGACTGTCACGGAGCTCTCATAAGTTCTAACTTACGTGGTAAGAAATGCAAACGGTTGGGCAACTGGTGAATACACTTATAACAAACGTGGCAGTGGTCGGTTTTGAGTGCAGACTCACAGGCCGTGGTTGGGTTGGTCAAAGGAAATGTTGCCCTTGAAGGCGTGTTCTCAGGCGTGCGGGATACACTGGGCTGGATTACTGTCCAGCAGTGGACGGTCCTTTGTGCTTGGAGTCTGACTCATGCCTTTCCCCCGGGCGATGAACACGATCAGTGAAACAGTCAAAGTAATACGAGTTCACCTTTTCTGTAGTTGCTTATATGTATGCGGTGGCGTATTGCGTGCGCGTGATTTGTTATATATTTGTATATTTTTACGACTTCTTACTCAGGGCGTGGTATACACCATGTAGCGGACCGACGAGGAAAATCATTGGCGGGAGTGGGCCATTCCCAACGTTTTTTAAATCTGCAAATTAGTTATAAAATGTAAAATATAAGTGAAAGATAACGTGCAAAATCGTGCTTGCCCCTACCCTCTCACCTCTGGAGGACGCACCATCACCTCAACTGCGTGCAGCCCGATATAAAGCTTTTTTCTCGTAACCGCCACCCCCTTAACGGGCGAACAGGAGTGCTCTGTCCCACTAGCCCGACGACACACTGAGCCTTACGTTCACTGCAAAAATGACAAACGCAAGTCGCAGCACCCCTTTCTAAGAGGTGGCAGTAAAAACAAAATTAAACACTGAGATTGTCAAGCCCACCAGCAGTCTATGTTGGCCAATATTGAAAATAAGCAAGGGGAGGCAAAATAATGGCGGTAGCCAAAGGCAGCATATGATTGGCCGCTAGTGCCTACCCGGGAAAGTAACTCACTCATACGATACTGGTG